CTCTGCATTCAGGCTGGCCCAGCTGTAGCTCTTTCAGCCATTTGGATGGAAGATCTCTTTCTCTCTCCCTCCCCCCACTTCTTTTTCTTCTCCTCCTCCTCCTCTTCCTTCTTCCTCTTCTTCTTCTCATCCTCTTCTTCCTCCTACTCTTTCTTTTCATCATCCTCCTCCCCCTTCTTCTTCCTCTCCCTTTCACTCTCCTTCTTCTGCTCTTCCTCTTCCTCTCCCTCTCTATAACACTGCCTTTCAAATAAAAATCAATCAATCTTAGAACAAAAATAATGATGAGTGAAAGAAGACAAACATAATCTAGACCTGGCTGTCTGGTTTCATGTAGGTAAATTTCAGAAACAGGTGAAACTACATGATCCTATCAGAAATCAGAGTAGAAGCTACTGTCATTGGAGAGAGGAAAAAGGTGTAATCAGGGCCTCTGAAGTGCTGGAATTGTTCTATTTCTTCATCTGAAAGCTGGTCAGCGGGTATTGGTTATTTGCTTTGTGAAACACAAACTGAACTGTACACTTATAATTGGTGAGTTTTTGTCCAAGTGTATTATACTTCACAAACACAAAAATGGTCAGCTATGTCTGTTATCTAGTGGGTGATCTACCCATGCTCATGGCCCTGAGTGCTCTTGGATAAAGTAAAATGAGTGAGTTAGATTCACTAGAAAATCTCCTAACTTGCATGTAGTGCTACTTTTTATGTATTTATTTTTTATTTTATTTTATATATTTATTTTAAAATTTTTTTATTTGAAAGGGAGAGAGAGAGACAGAGACAGAGATTGTCCATCTGCTGGTTGACTCCCCAAATGCTTGCAATAGACAAGGCTAGGCTAGGCGAGGCTGAAATTAGGAGACCAGAACTCAGTTTGAGTCTCTCCAGTGGGTGACAGGAAACTCAAGTACTTGAGTCATCAAAGTCTGCCTCCCAGGGTGCACATTATCAGGAAGCTGGAAGTGGAAGTGGTACCTGGACCCAAACCCAAGCACTCTGATATGGGATGCAGACATCCCAAATAGCATGTAACTGCTGCACTAAATGGCTGCCCCACATGTAGCTGTAATATCCTGTGGTCCTCAGATTCTACTGAAAACTCATTAAGGGGTGAGCAATTGTCCTAGCAGTTAAGATGCCATGTTTCACATTTGAGTTTCTGCTTTCAAGTCCAAGCTCTGGCTCCTGGCTCCAGCTTCCAACTACAGAAGACTCTGTGAGGCAGTGATGATGCCACAAGTAATTGGGTTCCTGCTACTCACATGAGAGACCTGCATTGAGTTTCCAGCTCTCAACTTTGGTCCTGGCCCAGCCCTGACCATTGTGAGCATCTGGAGAGTGAACCAGCAGAAGGAAGCACTCCTTCTTTTTCTAAACAAACATTAAAAATCCATTGAAAAAAGATTAAAAGAAAAATTCTCTGACTTGAGGCTACTGTAGGGAATTCCAAGCTGGGGCAAGCCAGCCCTCCATGCTGGAGGTGACAATCCCCTGTATGTTCTAGTCCTAGGGGCTGCCAGCATGTGCCATGGTAGAGCATCCTTTCCTGCAGAGTGGGAGACACAAAGACTGGTGATGAAGCCACATTTTCTAGATTTCTGCCTCAGCTTTGCTTCCATCATCTCCTTTCTCCCTTCCCTTGTCTGAGCTTTCTTTGCTGCATCCTTTGTTTCAGGATTGACATTTGGCTGGGAAAAGTGCCCAGATTTCTCTTCCCTCACTGGCATCTGTCTTAGCTCTCCTTACCAGGACTGCTGCTGTGAGCTCATGCATCGTTTGTGTGGTGTGTTCTCCGCCCTGCTAATGGCTAAACCTGACCTGCTGGCTGTTTCCAGTGGTGCACAACATTTTGAAATTACAAATGAGAACATTCTCCCTCTCTGCTTCCCTTCTCAACAGCATGCTTGTCAATTTTGACATGCTATACTACACAGCTCAGGAAAGAATACTCAAGGAGAGAAGATACAGAAAAGAGACAGAGAAATGCAGATATGGATGTGGCTGTGTGACCAGTTACTGCTGTCCTATCACTTTGTTGGGAAGCACTCTTTGCTCTTGCATTGGTGCAGGTTTCAGGACACATCGCTCACAGGTTTCACCAGGTGAGCACCCCAGAAGCTCCGGATCCAAAGCGATGCAGGATGTGAGCAAACGGATTTGTAATCAACACTGAGAAACCTTAAACTAATAGTAATGCAATGAAGGAATGGAAATGACTCCAGCAGACCATGGGGCCCTCTGGTACACCATGAGATTCATAAACAAAGCCTCACGCAAGGCAGACAGGTTAAAATTGGAAACTCTTTCAGTGCAGCCCAAATTCTGAGGCTGGTTTGAGAGATTAATGGAGCATACAGCAGGCTGGCTCCGTAATCATGAAATACAGAGAGCACAAACTTGGCTTTATGCTCTTTCCTTGGAGGCTTGTATGTTGGAAGATGATTTATCAGGGACAGGTGATAACTAAGGGTAACTGAATGAAGCTAAGGAAATTGTTGAGCATGGAGAATAAAAATCTAGTCCGTAGTAGAAGAGATAAGACAAAAGTCATGGAAGTTCTGTCACTCATTATACTCAAAACACTGTTGCAGGAATCTGGCCGATCTCCCTTTTACCTTCTATCCCCACTTCAACCCAAAGCACAATCCAGTCCCAATCCCTGCCTACTTTGAATCCAATTCTAGAATTCTTTTTTTTTTTTTTTTTTGACAGGCAGAGTGGACAGTGAGAGAGAGAGAGACAATTCTTTTAGCTAAGACTCCAGAAGTGGGGAATTGAGGACAATGAAGACTACCAGTTCATCTCACATATGGTATAAAAGACCAAACAGTCATAAAACAGGCTAATCAAACTGTTAAAAGGATGAACCCAATATGATCAGACACATCTCATTCACTTCTCATTTCTATTGTTTTGGGTTCAATGAATCAACTAGATTGATCAACCAGCTCATCCAGGCCCTATTAGAACTGCATGAGGTAAAATTCTCTGGGTGCTTCACAACATTGCTCACTGCCTAGTTTAAAGACTATTGTCTGTAAAACCACAGAAACATGAAACTTAATATAAAGCATAATTGTAAAAACCATGAGAGCAAACATGTTCATGGTACTTACGACATGCCAGTTGGTGCTCTAAGTACTTTATAGGTACAGTCCTCATCCCTTGGATTGGTTCCAGGAACCCCAACTTCTGCAACCCAGAGGCCAGAATCTGGGAATGCTCACATATATAAAATGGGATAATATTGGGGTATAACCCCCACACATCTTTCTGTATACTTTAAGTCATCTTTAGGTTACTTACATTACCCAACAGAACTTGAATCATCATTATTTCAGGAATAATGGCAAGGAAAAATCTGCACATGTTCAGTACAGATGTAATTTTTTCCATTTTTTAAAGATTTATTTGAAAAGCAGAGAGAGAGAGAGAGAAGAGAGAGAAAGAGAAAGATCGTCCATGTACTGGTTCACTGTCCCATTGGCTGAAACAGCCAAGGCTGGGCAAGGTCAAAGCCAGAAGCCTAGAATTCTTTTTTTTTTTTTTTTTTTTTTGACAGGCAGAGTGGACAGTGAGAGAGAGAGAGACAGAGAGAAAGGTCTTCCTTTGCCGTTGGCTCACACCCCTCCCCCCCATTGGCCGCTGTGGCTGGCGCACTGCACTGATCTGAAGCCAGGAGCCAGGTACTTCTCCTGGTCTCCCATGTGGGTGCAGGGCCCAAGGACTTGGGCCATCCTCCACTGCACTCCTGGGCCACAGCAGAGAGCTGGACTGGAAGAGGAGCAACTGGGACAGAATCCGGCACCCCAACTGGGACAGAATCCGGAACCCCAACCAGGACTAGAACCCAGGGTGCCGGTGCTGCAGGCGGAGGATTAGCCTATTGAGACGCGGTACCGGCCATGAAGCCTGGAATTCTATCATGGTCTCATATGGGTGGCAGGGACCCAAGTACATGGGCCAACAACTGCTGCCTTCCCAAGTGTGTTCACAGAGAGGTGATCAACAAGAACTCAATTGGAGCTCCAATATGTGATGTCACATCACTTAACCCACTGTGTCAGACCAGTGGTCCCTCCAAATATTTTTGATCTCCAGTTGGTTGAATCCACAGATGCAGAATCCACTGATATGAAGGACTGGCTGTCCTTCCAACTACACCCCTATGATGGTGGTCCTATTTTAGAAATTAAGGAAACTGTGCTGGAAAGCAATATCCAGTTGTTTATTCAACACACATCCTTGAGCTCCTCTTGCATGCCTGGCCATTGGAGGCCTGCTCGACTCCAGGTGAATGCTGAGCAACAGGCAGGATCAAAAGTTCTTGCACAGGTTTGCTGTGGCTGACATAACAAAATATTGCAAAACAGGCACTGAGCCACAGAAATGTATTTCTTGCCTTTCCGGAGGCTGAACGTCCAAGGTCTAGGCATTGGCAGCTGTTGTTTCCTCTGAGGCCTCCCTCCTTGGCTTGAAGAAGGCCACCTTCTCTCTGTGTTCTCATCTGGCCTTTTCCTTTTGTGTGTCTTCACCCCTGGTTTCTCTCTGTGTGTCCTAATCACCTGAGAGCCCACACTATAAGTTAATTACTTCCTGGGGCTGGCGTGGTGGTGCAGTGGGTTAAGCCTCTGCCTGTAATGCCAGCATCCCATATGGGAATGTCATGGTTGGTTCAGCCTGGCTTAGCCCTGGTGGTTACAGCCATCTGGGGAGTAAACCAGCAGATGAAGGATTCTCTCTCTCTCTCTCTCTCCTCTTTCTGTAACTCTGCATTTATAAATAAAAATATTAAAAATAGAATTACCTCCATAAAGACCCTATAGCCAAAAATAGCCACATTCCAAAATACTGGGGGATTAGGGCCTCAACTCATGGACTTGGGGGGATATCATCCAGTCCATAACAGCTTGGAAGACAGTTTGATTCCTTTCTCAATATTGTAGGACTTTAATTTTGTTCCTCTAACTGAGGGCCGCAATATTTCTTTTCCCCAGTGACATCGGTATTCACAGAATGGGAAGCTGTCAAGGTCTGAACTCTGTATACTCGTGCAGTACCATGAAGTACACCAAAGCATTCTGCCCATGTCGTTTGTTATTTAACAGCTCACCAACTCTACAATGCTGGCTTGTGTGAGCCCATGGAAGCAACTGTGTCCAATTGTCCAGTGTTTGTTAAAAACACTGAAAAGGAAATAGCTGCTTATATTTTTCTTTCCTTTTCTCCTCCTCTGAATGGTTCAAAAGTAAATAAACTGGATTCCAGCAACCCTGCCACACAAAGCTGAATTCATGTCTTCCGTGATTCCTTGTGCGCTTGTCACGCTCATCCTGGCTCCGAGGCACTTCAAACACTGTTGATTTATTCTCCCATGAATTTGAATGAGGATAACGCTGCAGAGCCGTGTTCTTCCTGCTCTTTGGATGGGATTTCATGGTCTATCTACCAACTTATTAAGAGCACCTACTCCTTCCAGTTTTCAGAATTTATTCTGATTGTATTTTCTCTTAGTCTTCTTAATCTTGAAATAAAGAGCTTTAGGACCCAGCAGAGTATTATATCCACCGAAACATTCATTTAGTTCAATCCCTCAAGACGGCTTGGAAGAATCATTTTGAAAATGTTCACAAAGAATATTTATGAATGTGGCTGAGCAATCACAATACATTGCCTGCACCATGCTTCAAAAATGTGTTCCCAACTTTACGTTTCTATATCCTTTAAGCAGGGAAATAAACAGTTTGGTTGTGGCCAGTCCTAAGAAGATAAAGCCATAGTATGTTTATAAATAGCCATGTTTTATTCTTTTGAAACCCTTGGAAAATAGTCAATATTTGGAAAACCAGGTATTAGGAGTTTTCAGAAAGTTAATGGAAATGTGTGTTGTGAAAATGCATGGATTTCAATTTTTTCACCAAAATAAGCATATTTAAATTCCATTTTGCTGTGAACTTTAAAAAATATTTTAATTGACCTCTGAGCTTTGTTTATTTATTACTCTGAGAGACAGAGAGAACTAGAACTCCAATCTGCTGGTTCTCTCCCAAATGTTCACAACGAAACCTGGGAGCCAGTAACTCAAACCAGGTCTCCCACATGAGTGGAAGGGACCCAAATACTTGAGCCACCACTGCTGCCTCCCAGGGTGCCCATTAGCAGGAGTCACATTTGGGAGTGGAGCTGGGACGTGAACCCAGATACTCTGATATGGGGTATGGGTCAAACACTACTCTTCCACAGACTGATAGGCCAAACACCCACCCCTCCATGAAGTCTTTGAAGTACCGTCATACTAACATGGAATTAGAGTTGCTTGTCTTGAAAACCCTAAGGTAATTTGATTCAAAAATCTAATTTTCTCCTGATTTAAGTTAAAAAGGCTAACTTCGGGCACAGAAAGACAAATACTGCATTATCCAATCTCAGAAATATAGAATAGTAGTTACCAGTGCTTCAGAAATCTGTGGGAAACGGGGTAACTTTGAGGATGGTTAACAGCTTATATTCTATGGCTGACTACTAATTTTATATTTCAAAATAATGAATATTATCAATACAAAGAAATGATAAGTGTTTGAGGTGATGGATGTTTGATTTGATAACTGGACAGTGTATACATGTATTGAAATGCCACAATGGACCCCACAAATATGTACAATTACTGTGTGTCAAGGAAAAGGATGTAAAGGCCGATTTTGATGGCGCACAAAGAGTAGCCATCAGGCCATTTGTGAGAAGCCCCCCTCTGCACAAAAGGGAAGGTGTCCTGAGTTCCAACGAAGACTTCCTCTGTGACTTGAGAGATCATTTCATGTCCCATTGCCTTCAGCTGCTCTCATTAAGAAGCAATAGCTTCGCCAGGTTCTTTTACCACAGGACTATTATGTGGAACAATTAAGGGTTAATTAATTAATTGCAGAACAACCATGTGAGAGTGATAATGAATAGTTCTTCTGCATTTCCTTGGCTTTAGATAAAGCCACTCTAAATCAATTTTAATCAGAAGTCTAGGGTCTCAGTTTTTCATGACTAGTCACACTTTGAGGTTTAAAATGAACTTGAATCTCTTAAATGGAACTTTTCCTAAATCAGATCTTTTTCCCCTGAAAGACCAATTTCTAATATCTAATTCACTGGGTTAATCAATAAAATTGCTTGCATTAAATTTAGTAGTTCATAAATCAATGAAAATGATCAGGACATTTTTCTTTGCTATTTCATATGTTTTGTAGTTGTTAGGTTAAAGGTAGGAAACTCCATAGTTCAATGTGGATTGGCTTCTCTCCATATTTTATCTTTAGAGATAAATTCAGACAAAAACTCAGATGACCTGCTGATTGTTCAAACACTGACTTTGATGGAGCTGTTTTCCTCCCAGTCTCCCGGTGCTCACATGCTAGAGAGAGAGGGATATGGTCTGCACCTGTAAACCAATAGGGCTGCACCAGTGGACTTGCCTGACAGCTGCTGGGAGAGCTGGTGCCTGTTCTTAACTCGAGTTTAGACAGCTGTGGTTCAAATACCTTGAGCTCTCCAGACCTTTGATGCCCAGGCAGTAGCTGAACTTTCATTTCCTTTCTGTCTTCCTCTGTTTCAAAGAGAATGGGCTTTCTGGTGGACATTCCCCCACCTTACAGAGCTCTCACGCTCTCTCCTTTCTCACTGAAAGTAGAAAACTTCTAACCCTAGCTATAATTTCTGCTTCCCCGGTTTTCCTGTTTCCAAAACATTAGGCTGGGCTGGCCCTCAAAATAACATATTCCTGTGCTATTCAGCTTGAAAAAAAATCAGCTCACTTTTATTTAGTTCTTTCTACTAATGCGTACTGACCACTGAAATATCACATTGTACTAACTACTAAGAACAAAGAGAAAGTGTAAGACAGTCTGCATTAGCAAGATCAAGTTAGTCTAAAGGAGAGAACAAGATGGCAAAGCAAGGAGGTAAAGCCCAAATCCATTGGTTTTACCTCTCCGTAGTAAAGTTGGTCATCTGGCCAAAGAATGAATGGACAAGTAAGAAGAAAGCTTGAGAAAAGATAAAACTTCTGTGAAGATTACATATCCAAAGGCAAAACCTGAAAATACTTAAAGCTCATATTCTTGGAATAGAAATTCCTGTACTTTTGCTGGGTTCAAAGAATATTTCTGACAAATTCTTCCAGACAGAGCTGTCTGCTTTTATCTATGTTATGTCAAATTTCTTTCTACAAATAATCTAGTGATAAGAGGGGCATCAGAGGACGGTGCCCTGTGGCTCAATAAGCTAATCCTCCGCCTGTGGCACCAGCACCCCAGGTTCTAGTCCCGGTCGGGGTGCCGGATTCTGTCCTGGTTGCTCCTCTTCCAGTCCAGCTCTCTGCTATAGCCCGGGAGTGCAGTGGAGGATGGCCCAAGTCCTTGGGCCCTGCACCCACATGGGAGACCAGGAGAAGCACCTGGCTCCTGGCTTCGGATCAGCACGGAGTGCCGGCCACAGCGGCCATTGTGGGGTGCACCAACGGCAAAAGGAAGACTTTCACTCTGTCTCTCTCTCTCACTGTCCCCTCTGCCTGTCAAAAAAAAAAAAAAAAAAAAGAGGGGCATCAGAGATAATCCAATCTAACCCCTCTATTTAAAAAAAATCTAACCACCATTCTAAACTCTTGTCCATAATCGCAGTGCTGCACAATTGTGCACTATGTCCAGAACTCACTTTTCCTACCCAATCTTACATTATTTCAGGTTAAGAAATTAATTACATAATCTTTATAATTTACCAAAGATATTTTCTTAATATCATCAATCTTGTGCTGAAATCTTATCTAATATATATGGATAAATCACATTAATAGAATTATCTAAAATATGACTTGGTATGTTACAAAATGGCTACAAATTCTTTCCTTCTCTCATTTCTGTCTTGAATATATTCCTCACCTTGTGACTGTTCATGTGTTCATTCTTTGAGTTGTATTTGTGCTTTGAAGTTTGCCCTCTTGCTGTTGTTGGAATTCAGTCCCCACATGAAGGAGCACAGGATAGCTTGCTGGATAGTGATAAACACATGGACCAATTGGCCCAGTTGCACTTGTCACTTCAGCCAATAGCCCAGACAACCTTCAGCCAAATCACCAACTAACTGCAGATACATGAGTGAGCCAAGCTGAGCACAGCCAACCCCACTCCAGACAGAAGGACTGCCCAGCCAACTCTTGAACTAAATAAATGGTTATTTTTCCAAATCCTTGATAGTTGGGGTGGCTCATTGTAAAGCAAACACTAGCTAATCCAATGAAAATAAAAATGAATGATGGGAATGGAAGTGAGTTCAAGAGGAGCATGCACTGTTGCACAAGAAATATAGGAAATGTTTAGTGTTTTTTTTTTAACTTAAACTTTATACACCATAGAACAGAACCTTAATGCTAAATTTACCATTTTCTGTAGGAAAAGGCAGATGTTATAGTTATTTTTCCCCTAGGTAAATCTTCCTCATGGGAAGAATATAAGTTCTCATTACACTTAACTTTCTAGTTCCTTATTTAACATGAATTTACAAATAAAACTTTTCTATTAAAAGCATTCAAACACACACACACACACACAGTGCTGCCAGATGTAGAATTGTGCTTCCTCTTACAGGTCATCTATCCAGGAAGCCACATATTTGGCTCTCTTAGAGCCAGAGCTCTGTTTACTGTGGCTTCTTGCCAAGATAACCCTTGGCATCTTTCAAAGATTCCTCTTTTAACAAGAGCATCTCTCTAATGCAATGTGCTTTCAAGGAGCTGAAATAAAATCCTGATAGAATACAAAGATAACTCCTTGTGATAAATAAATGCAGCACTGTTTCCTATACTTTTGGGGAACAAAACTTGAAATAGTTTTCAAGTCTATTCAGAAAGAGATCACCTCCTGAGACTATTCGGCACTGCTTCCCATTACAAAATGTTAGAAATTTCAAGAGCAATATATGTAGTCATGAACCCCATAACAATGTTTTGATCAGTGATGGTCCACTTGTGTGGTGGTGGTCTCATAAGATTATAATGGAGCTGAAAATTTTCTATTGCCTGGTGATGCCATAGCTCTCCACACTTAGCTATTCACAAGGCATTATACATGCAGTTTTGATGATACTGTAAACAAACCTGCACTGACAATATAGAAACTTAGCATATAAAATGATGCACAGAACACAATACTTGACTTGGATACTGAATGGTTGTGTTACTGGCTGATTTAGCTACTATTGTCATCACTTTAGAGCATATTGCTTCTACTTATAGAAAGGATTTACTGCAAAACAGGATGCTGTGTTACACTGGCAACAGCTTCAAAAGTCTCCTGTTTAACATGTCTTTGATTGCACCACTTTCTCTTGACTTGATCTTGTGTTCTTTTGCTCATCATGGCTCTAAGCGAGATAGGCTATACCACATATATGAATACATGTATGCCAGATAGCCTAGGTGTGTAATAGGCCACGCTGCAATGAAATCACCTGATGAAACACTTCTCACAAAATGTCTCCATATTCCTGTTGTTAAGCCATGTATGACTGTATTTCAAAGCAAACATATTATCAGTTTAAATAAAAAGTATGGTGGATGCTGTGGTCTGAATGTCCTTCACAAAACTCATGTTGAAATTTAATTGTCATGGGGCCAGCGCTGTGGTGCAGTGGGTTAACGCCCTGGCCTAAAGCGCCAGCATCCCATATGGGCGCTGGTTCAAGACCCGGCTGCCCCACTTCTGATCCAGCTCTCTGCTATGGCCTTGGGAAAGCAGTACAAGATGGCCCAAGTCCTTGGGCCCCTGCACCCACGTGGAAGACCCAGAAAAAGCTCCTGGCTCCTGGCTTCGGATCAGCGCAGTCCCGGCCGTTGCGGCCAGTTGGGGAGTGAACCAGCGGATGGAATACCTCCTCTCTCTCTCTCTCTCTCTCTCTCTCTGCCTCTCCTCTCTCTGTGTAACTCTGACTTTCAAATAAATAAATAAATTTTTTAAAAAAGAAATTTAATTGTCATAATGAGGTGGGACTTTATGGAGGTGATTAGCTTCATGAATAGACAAGCCTATTATGGCAAGAGTGGGTTGGTTATCACAGCACTGGGTTCTTGATAAAAAGGATGAGGTCAGTCTGATTTTCTCTCCCTGTCTTGTGAATGCTTGCTTTTACTAATGTCATCATTAAGGGCAGGCTCTTGCCAGTTATAGATGCCATGCTCTTGGATGTCCCAGACTTCAGAACCAAGAGCTAAATAAACTTCCATTGTTTATAAATTATTCAACCCTGTGATATTCTGCCACAGCCACAGAATAGGAAGTAAGTAGAGCAGAAGGAAAATGGGATTGTGCCCTAGGAAGTGAAAATCCACCTAGGAGGGAACTGCTGTAAAATGTGGGGTTCCTTCATGGGTGCTCTTTAGCGCCAGGGGTGCAAAAATCCAATTAGGAGAAAACCTGGATGGGCAGTGTTGGGATCACTGCTTGGGATACTACCAATAAGACAACCTAAGAGTTGATCTCTCCTCTCCTTCTCCCTGTCTTCAAGACAGAGCTTCCCAGGATGTCTTAACTGAAGCAGAAGAACTCAGTCCAGCACCTGAGTCGGGGAGGCAGGAAAATACTAAGGGGAAGGGAAACAAAGGGGCTAATGGAAATTACTCATGCCCTGCCTTCCCAGATCAGGCAGTACATACAACTGACATTTCTCTCCAATTCTGTTTAATCTGGAAGAGTTCTTCAGTCTTTCTTTGTTCTTCATGACCTTGGCATTTTGATGAATGCTGGCTGGTTGTACCTTGATTTGAATTTATCTGATGTTGTCTCATGAGGAAGAGTCCCTAAATATCTACAGCAGGCAAACCACAAAAGTAAGATTGTGTCCAAACGAAATGGCTTTCAGCGCAGTGTTTTCACATGATATTAATACTGTCAAATAAGCTTTCTTGAGTTCAAGGACTATAATGCTAAATGACATCAAATCCTCCACAGAGCAAGCCTTCAGGAGAGAACACACACTTAGATGTTCAACTACCTGCGCATTCAGTATAGAAAGCAACTCACCCTCAGTCCCAATCAGATCACACTGACCTCACTATTTTATTTTTTATCATAATGATAACCCTGAGCAAAATTAATTTGTTTAAAGAAACAGGGAAGATATGTACTTGAAGGGTGGTGTTTGGCTTAAGATGCTAACAGAGTGCCTAGGTTTGGTTGCTGCCTCCATCTCCTAACTTTGCTTGTGATTCCAGCTTCCTGCTAATGTGCACCCTGGGAAGCAGCAGGTGATGGATCAAGTGGGAGATCCAGATTGAGGTCAGGGCTTCTGGTTTCAGCCTGGCCAAGTCCTGTCTATTGCAGGCATTTGGGAGTGAAGCAGCAGATGGAAAATCTCTCTTGCTCTCTCTCTTTTTACCTTCCAAATAAAGAAAAAATAAGTTTTTAAAAAGTTAAAAACGCTTTGTGTTACTTCTTTGAAAAAAAAAAAAGTTAAAACAAAGGGTTATTTGGGAGGGCAAGGGGAGCAGGGAGTCCTGATTAGAATAGGATCCCTAGGGGACCAGCCTTGTGTGGCCAGCAGGTTTAGCTGCTGCCCGTGATGCCGGCATCCCATATGAGCATCAGTTTGAGTTCTGGCTGGTCCACTTCTGATCCTTTTCCCTGCAAATACACTTGGGAAAGCAGTGGAAGAAGGCCCAAGTGCTTGGGCCCCTGCCACCCATGTGAGAGGCCAGGATGGAGTTACAGGCTCCTGGCTTCAGCCTGCTCCAGCCCTTGCCATTGTTGCAACCATTTGGGGAGTGAACTAATGGAAGATCTCCCTCCCTCCCTCTCTCTCTCTCTCTCTCTCTCTCTCTCAACCCTTCTCTCTGTAATGCTACTTTTTAAATAAATTAATTGATTAAAAATAGAATCCCTGGGGGAATAGGGGGTTCAAGGATGGCTGGGGAGAATCTGTTTCTGGCTGGTATTTACACAAATATTTGACTTATAGTTCATGACTTTGCTTTTTCTGTATCAATGTTTTATTTCATAGTAGTAAGTTTTTAAAACTAAAGAAATAGGATGATAAAGATAAAGAAATACACATAGCATGGTGACTACCACTATTATTACATGGAGCCCCGGATTCTCTCACCCAACCTGTACCACCTCCACCACCATCTTCACCCAGGAGGATGGTCTGCTCACAGGGGACACTTGCTAAATGTGAAGACTCTGATGGAAGAGGTGGAAATACTAGTCCTGACTCCAGTGCTGGGAGCCAGGGGTAGTGATGGGTGTGGTCATGGGGCCGTTCACTTGGATGCCCTCAGGAAAGTCAGGGAGAGTCCTAGCCTGTCCTGAACGGAAGTTCTGGGTTCATCTCCAGGCTACACTTGTTCTGGCTTTAAGCTCTCAGCTTAGCATGGTCCTAGGTGAGTAAAAACTGGTTACCCACATAAGCAGATGTGACTCTGATAACCAGGTTGGTCAGGTTCTAAATGCTCAAGGCATTCAGACCAAAAGGAAGTGGCCTTGAAAGAAGAATGAGGTTTGGGGCCGGTGCCGCGGCTCACTAGGCTAATCCTCCGCCTTGCGGCGCCAGCACACCAGGTTCTAGTTCCGGTCGGGACGCCGGATTCTGTCCCGGTTGCCCCTCTTCCAGGCCAGCCCTCTGCTGTGGCCAGGGAGTGCAGTGGAGGATGGCCCAGGTGCTTGGGACCTGCACCCCATGGGAGACCAGGAGAAGCACCTGGCTCCTGCCATCGGATCAGCGCGGTGCGCCGGCCGCAGCGCGCCGGCCACGGAGGCCATTGGAGGGTGAACCAATGGCAAAGGAAGACCTTTCTCTCTGTCTCTCTGTCCACTCTGCCTGTCAAAAAAAAAAAGAAGAAGAAGAATGAGGTTTGGAGAGGCAGAGGGGAGACTGAAAGGAAATGACTCTCCAGGAGCCAAAGTAAGAGTCTTCAGACACCGGGGGAAAGCAATGGGAAATCAGGTTAGATAGGTTGCCTGGAGCCAGGTGCAAGATGGCCTTGGAGTCAGACAGGAAAATGCATACTTGAGAGGGTGGGTGATTGGGAAGCCAGAGAGCATTCTTGAGCAGAGGAAATGGAAGGATTTATTCCAGCAGAGACCCATGAGGAAAATGGAAGGGGTTCGGGGCCCAGAGGTTGATGCTGTAAGTGCCCTGAAATTCTGGACAACATCATGCGATACTGAAGGGAGAGAATTGACATGAAGGGAA